TGCAGAAACATTCTGGTTACATACAAGAAAATGAAGATCTGAAATGATCACAAGTTTACTTCAGGTATTAAAGTACTTCCACTAAAAAAAAAAAAAAATGACACCCATGGGTGGACTGATGGAAATACAGTATAGTATGACAGCATTGCCAGTATTTAACCTTGGAAATGGTCAAGCAATGATTAGTGGAGAGAAAATTAAACTGGAAATTTGAAGACTTTATTGCCAAACCAGTTTAGGCATAGACATAGGGTGTGACCATTCTGAAGCCATAATTTCTTCATGTACAAAATAATGGGGTGGCCCAGAAATAGATACTACAAATGATTCTATCTTAAGAAGTATAATTTACACATATATGTTCACTGCAGTATTCACAAAAACAGCCAACAGTGCCACTTAAGTGTCCACACTGAGTGGCCACTGACAGATGGATAAAGAAAATGTAAATAGGGGCCTTCCAACTGGACTATGGGTTAAGTCTCATTGCTTTCACCATTTTGGCCTGAGTTCAATCCCTGGCCAGAGAGCTGACCCACCTGGTGCAGCAGACCTCTCCTGTCTCACCTGCTGCTCCCCTCAGCAGTGCATTTCAGTAGATCCACTTGTTCTGCTCCCCACTCTGTTTCTGGTGAATCCTCTCACCTAACGCACCTCTGGCCCTGTACTCCCATTCTTGTATGTGTAAATAAATAAATCTTTAAAAAAAATACTACTACATTGTACAATTAAAGATGGTTAGGATGGTATATTTTCTATTATGTACTTCTTGCCACAATAGAGAACAAGTAATATAAATAATTGTGTAACTAGTATGTAACTCCTGTACCAATTCCAGGAGTCAAAATCATGAGATCTATTTGTCTTACAAGTTAGAAGAACTGGGCCTCTCTGGTGGCGCAAGGGGTTAAGCACCTTACTATGAAGCAGTCCGCAGCCCCTGCAGCACAAGTTTGATCCCCGGGCAGCCAGGGAGCAACCCACATGGCAAAGCAGACCTCTCCTGTCTCACCCACTGCTCCCCTCAGCAGCATATTTTGGTCTGTCTGCCTGTTCTGCTCCCCACTCTGTCTCTGGTGAATCCTCTCACCACCGCCCCGCCCCACATCTCTGGCCTGTACCCCAGCTCTTGTATGCATAAATAAATAAATCTTAAAAAAAGAAGTTAGAGTAACTTTTAACTATGTGGGTTTTTTTCAGACTGAAAAAGATCAGGTTATGGCTTTTTATTATCTATGCATGTTGTAACATTCAACATTTAATTTCTGAAAAATAGCTCAGACGAAAAGAGTTAAACTGAAGCAAAGGGACTTAAAAAAGATATGACCTCCTATACAGTAAGGTTGCTTAAGGAGCAGAATCTATAATCAAGGAAGTTTTAGAATCTCTAATCCTAGAGATTTTTTACAGAATCTAAAACAGAGAAGAGGACCCCATGAGGAAGCAAAGCAGACAAAATAAGCCCTTGAGCCCCCTCTCAATTCTATGTAGTCTATTTTTAAAAGCAACACATCCTTAATACAAAGGGATGAAATACAAAATAAAATCATTAATGTTCAAATTGAATACACTCTAATAATTTTTATGTAGGTCACATTTGGCTGAGCATTTTCTTAAACCATAACAACTAACCTCAGAGTCTTTACTTAGGATTCTTACAAACAACAACAGATACTACAAAAGGTAGATATTGCTTTGTGCCCTTACTGCAAGGTTGAAACTGGTCAGATGGGTTGGGGGGAATATATATTAATCTAGATCCTGAATGCCTGAAGCTAAATATGGTTCTGCTCAACTTTCTTATACTGCAAACATATCAGTTAAAATAGATCCTGGGGAAAAAAAAAAAGAATTCTAGAAGTGGGAGTGGGAGAGAGAGACTGAGTTATGGGTAGAGAGAGTCAGAAAACATGGTATATACAGACAGAGAAAACCAGAAGAGACGCAGGGGAGAAGGTCAAACTGGGTCGATCTGAGTTCTTTCTTCAACTGTTTCTGAAGCTCTTGGAAAAAATACTGTTTTGGTCCGGGATCAAATAATCTTAGTGCTGCCTGTCGCCAATGTTGTTGCCATAGAGAAAACACTTACCTGAGATGGAACACAATAAAGAGAAAATACCAGGAGAGAAAGAACCGGTGTGCAGGCATATTTATGGCAGGATGCTATCTTGTGAACCTTTAAATCCAGCCATGCTTTAAGTCTTTTAATTTACCACTTTTATGAATCAATGTATTCTTTTTCCTTTAATTAGTCTGTGAATTTCAATGGAAAGAATCTTCAGAAGAATAGGTGCAATGAAGTTGGGGGCATAAGTATAATGAAGACAGTGACATTTAGGCAAACACTAAAAGAAATAGAAAAAAATAAAAGCCCAACTCAGCTCTTGGACAAATGGTCACCCACACCCTGCGACAAAAATGCAATACTCTCTTCAGTATGACATGAAATGTCTCAGGTGGATGAGGATCCTGTTGAAGGGATATGCTATGAAAAATATTTTCTGCAAACTTCCTCCACTCCACTGCGTTAATAACTTCTAAGTTACACTAAAGTATGGCACTTGCCATACTAAAGAGATAACAGGATGTGAAACAAGAAGGAAACCTAAGATGTATTTTCTTGATTTGTTTCCATCCTGCTATTTCCATGAATGCTAGAAGGCAGGCTGCTATCTAGTCTCCAGACTCAGAAACAGTTTGTGGAGGCAATCATTTGGTTTGCTTTTCAAAAGAAAAATAAAGAGCTGTCCCTATTCCCTTTCTAGAGTCACAGTGACATGGAGCAATCAAAGTAACCCATTATCAGAGAATCCCCTGCTTTGTTCAAATTATAAACATCAATGGCCGTCTCTCCTGGGACTTCAAAGAACAGAGGCGTGTGGGTGAGCGAGGCTGGTTAACAGAAGAAACCAGGTTTGTGTGATGCCTTGTTTCAGCGGAGACAACATAAGTAGGGATTACAGTTCACTTGGGTTTTGCACTGATCGTCAGAAAACTGACAGTCACTTAAATCACTCATTGAGTGGAATAATCACCCTGAAAGGAACCGCGAGGGTACAGCTTCTATTATAAAATGGAACTGAGCATCTGAGACAGAGTATTAATGGGTGTGGTAGAAGAGATCTCTGTCAGAATAACAGAGATGATTAAAGACATGAATTAGACGTCAACCGTTTTGGGTGTTCTTACTGACATGAACACAACAGCTAAATCACACAATTATGAAGTTGAGCGTAACTCAGGGAGCAACTTACTCTCTCTGAAAACAGGTGATGCCAGATTAGCCTGTGTGGCTCACTCAGTGGCTTGGTTTAGAGGTTGTGTCCTCTTTTGCCCTGAGGAGTCCTTGCAGAATGGACAGGATAGAATCTGGGGATGCTCTGCATCGCAGATGAGAGATTCCACTATTAAATACCAGGCACTGATGGCCCAGCAAGCAGGAGGAACCCTCCCAATCTTCACTAATCAACCCAAGGAGCTGAAGACTTGCAAGAGAAAAAGGATACCAGGAAGGAAGGCATCTGGTCCCTTTTGAGAGCTGTTTATTTTGCAATTAGCAAAAAGGAAATTAGCTCTTTTTTTAGTGGACTGGGAAATAAAATGGAAAATTTTGACTACTCGTGACGGATCGCCTGGTAGGACAGGATCATACTGTGGAGGGCCTTTCAAGGACACCCACTTGGGCAGAATCTGCTAGAACCTACACTGGGCCCCAACTATCCTCAGCAGGTGGGCGCATTTTCTATTCATACCAATTTCTAAGAATCAATATGTATACTTTTACCATTAGATAAGAAGTAATATTTCACATAGCACAAAGTATAAAACTAAAAGTACAAATAAAAGGAATATTTTAAGATTTCTAAAGCAGACCTATACATAATCTTATTCAAAAACTCCACTTCTTTCATTCCTGTTGCCCAGTCGCTATTGAGTCTGAGGATAACTACATAATTGGCCGAGACCCTCAGTGGTGAATATTCGAGGATCCTGCACCTGGTTTCAAGGCTTGTTATCTCAGGGAATGATTTACCCCTGCAGATTTCATCCACACCCCCTCTATCTCTAGGCTCAAAAGTACTTACAACAATATTCCTTGTACTATTCTAGTGATAACTTTTCAGAGAACAACGATAATAATTAACTTACTCTGAAGTTCCCAGTCCAAGTAATGTAAGCATTTTCATCTCAACAATTTTCTAATCCTTTCCCAAAACAGGATTTTGTTCCTTTCATGTTTTTGCTATTATTTTGCTTTTCTCTCTCCTATTTCCATCTCTCCACTTACAAATTCAAATCTGCTACTTCATTTATTCCTTCTTCACCTCACATTTTCTCTGCCTCTATGTTAACTGCCTGATACTACTCTGAACGAATGCTCCTTAACAGTATTCATTTTACAGATATCAAATAAAGTTTATGTGCCCTAAAACTTTCCAATTATTTTTCTCTGAGTCATTGGTCCTTTATAGAAAAAGGTTTCCCATTTTCGTTTTATATCCAACTCCTTCATTTCCTTAAAGTCTGTAATTAAGTTATCTCTCAGTCATCTCTTCTCCAGAATAATTTGTTTTTCTCATTGTCTCTATTTTCTGGCACCTTAATCACTTTGATTATTCTTTTTTAAGACACTTATTTTTTTCCGTGAGTTTTGTGGCATTGAAAGGAAAACATCAGCTGTGAGCTTGGTTCTGCACGCTGAGATGGTTTCTACCCTCGAGAAGTTGTTGCGAGGAGCACAAAAGGTACTGCTTTCTGTTACTGAGACACAGTGAGTCAATCTTACATAAGTTTGTGTTTCTAAAGTTCAACGTCAGGCCTGTTGACAAGGATCTTGCTTGGGTTATAGTTGTGCACAGAGAATCATAAGGGCCCAGACACGTGGCACAACAGCCCTCCCGAAAACCTGGACACATCCCCACACTCAATTTGAGGTGGAGTCCCCAGGTCATCCTTCCCTGCGCCGCACCCCCCCTCGCCCCCCAGCCCCTGATACTCACTCTGGGAGGAGGACAGGTTGGAGAAAGCAGACTTGGTCCGACCCGCGAGCCACTCCAGGCTCTCCTGCATGTTGGCCAAGGCTTTGAGGTCGCTCACGTCGCGTAGGACGTCTTGTGCTGGGATTAATTTATCACCCAGGTTCCCAATAAGAACTTCCGATTCCTTGCCAAAGGCTGCCCTGGAAAACACATCAGAACATACTTTCTACACAGCCTGGAAAAGAGGAGGGTGGGCAATGCTTTTGAGGGCACATCCCAGTTATGACCACAATTTTAGAGCATGTTATTTTTTCCTTGGCTTAATTTTATGAGAAAACCCTCACAGATCTACTTTAAATTATCCCAGATGAGAGCGTTCTTGGGAGAAGGGATCCTGATGACCTTGACAAGCACCAATAGGGGCCTCTTGCCCAGGGTCAGTCCCTGAGGATGGCTTCGCTGCCTGCTCTTGGTGGGATTTTCCCTTCTTTCTCCTGCTCGGGAAGCTGACAAATAGTATTAGATATGTACATGGTTTGAAGTTTATTGTGATAAATAAAATCACCAAGGGGATCTGGCGGCTAGAAAATATTTCAAAATGTTCAAAAGCAAAGAGGACCCAGATGTTTGAAGGAGGCAGATTACAGTGGAGATGGGCAACAGGCCCCCCCTTGTTTAGTCACTCATTTAGTTGTTCTACAAAAAAATCTGGGACATATAAACCCTAAAGCACTAAGGCACTCTCATTTGAAAGAGAAAGCAGTAAAAATCAATGCCAGCATATAGTTACTGTCTGGAAAAACAGAATCAGGTAGACTTCACATAAAGTCCAGTGCCTTCACTGGGAGTCCTGGGGGTGCTGAAAATACAGTAATGTGGGTAGAGGATGAAGTTGGAAAGGACCCTGGGGACCACAGGGTCCAGCCATGATGCAGAAGAAGAGAAACAGTTACTCCACAGCTAACTGTTTTGCCTACATGCACACGTGTGGAGAGCTGGATTCCCACAGGACTCTCTTCCCAAATAGGAGAGCTGGGATGGTAGAAGGTGACTGGGGGTGGTGGGGAGAGACAGCTTTCCAGGAAAGTCATACATAGGTGGGTGAGCAGGGCTGATGGTGGAAAAGGATGGAACAGACACCTGGAATTTTTCATTTTGTCGAAGTCCCAGGGTTTTTAAAACTTGGAATACCTTCGGTGAGCAGAAACAAGGGCTTTATTTAAGAAGAACCAAATACATTCAGTCTCAAGCAAGCAGTGATTCCCAGCAGCTGAGATATGGGCAAAATGATGCCTCAGTGGCACGAGGCATGAAATGCCCAGTGTTGTGGCAGACACGCCATGTGGGAAAAAACAAACAACCACTGTGAATTACATATTATGAAAAATGTGTTTAGGCTGCCACATAGGAACTCACCCTTAGGCTTCCTGTTTACCTTTTCCAAGGAAAACTCCTGACTGACCGAGGACCTGGGTAAGGCGTGACGACAAAGGCAACACAGACTGAGCAGAGGAAGCTCAGTGTGCAAATCTTGCATGGAGATGTGTGAAAGGTCTGAGGGTGGGGCCTAAGAGTACACATTTACCTGGTTTCAGGCTGCTTGTCTGGAAAGCAGGCTTCAAGGAGGAGGAGATAGAGCACCGGTCTCAAAGTCAGACAGACCTGGTCTGAATCCTCTGTGAGTATTAGCAGCTAGACGTGAGGTGCTGACCTCATTTGAAGTAATGTGACAAGATAGGTGGTATTTTAAAATCTGTACCAGGAAAATTTCAAAAGTGGGGTGAGGAGTGTAATATCCCCCCATGTGGCCACCACTCAATTTTAATTATTAGCAACTCATAGCTCTCCTTGTCTATAAACCCCTCTCCCTTGAAGTATTTGGAAGCCAATCATTAAGATGCTGTTCTTAAGTGCCTAGCACAGTGCGACAGACTTGGTGAAAGCGATAGCTAATGTTCTTAGGACTGTTGAGATCATCATCTATTTAGCGACAACACAGAATATGGGATGATGAATCAAATTGAAACAGATGAGTGATCAGAAGTAAATAAATTAGATGGCAAGGCTTGTTTTACAAGTGGAGAGCCTTGTAACATCACAGCACATGTCACTGCATCTCTGAAAACAGAATTTTATCAGAATCAAGAGGTCATTTATTGTAACAGAAACCACTATTGCCTACTGAGTATCCAGTATCCCATGGACTCTTTTTTTTTTTTTAAAGATTTGTTTTATTTATTTATTTATACAAGCACTGGGTACAGTCAGAAGCGCGGGAGGGTGACAGAATTCACCAGAGCCAGAGCGGGGAGTAGAACAGGCAGAAGGACCGAAGTACACTGCTGAGGGGAGCAGCGGGCGGCAGGAGAGGTCTGCACGCCATGTGGGACCTTCCTCCAGTGGCCGGGGAGCAGCCGGGGATTGAACCGGCGCTGCAGTGGCTGTGGGCAGCTTCGCAACCCAGAGCTCAACCGCTGCGCCACTGGGGAGGCCCTCCCATGGACTCTTACTAAAAGGACACAGATATTATAGGAATTAGCCACATGCCCAATTACAAAACATATGGACACACCACTCAATTTCCCATCACCCCTTGCAGAAGCAGAGGTCAATGAGGTGTGAACTGAAATCCATACATGGGCTTCCAAGCTTTTAATTTTAAATTGAACTAACAAAGGTTTTCAACACTATACACAGATGTGTGTCACTACCTCACACCCACCATCGAAGTACCCCTAGTCCTTTACCATAGACCACTGGTCCTGTTCATCCTTTGTTCCCATCCCTCACACAGTTTCCCCCTCTAGTGGCCTCCATTCTGTTAACTTCTAGGGTTTGTTTTGGTTTCCTTTGGTCAGATCCATTGTTTAGCTTCTTTCTATTGTGCTGAGTGAAATCATCCAGTATTTATTTTTCTGCTGATGTATTTCACTTAGCATAACCCCTCCAGGTCCATCTATGTTGTCACAAATGGCAAGAGTTGATCTTTTTTTTCAGTGGCTGAGTAGTACTCCATCGTGTACATACCCCACATCTCAAGAAAATGCTTTTATTGTTAGCGGGTGGGGATCTTTTTTTGCATTCCCACTTTCCAGAAGGCAGCCATGGAGCATGAGACTGCAGCAGCTCTTCTTTGAACATTAGGTGACCTTGGCATGAAAGTCAGTGTCGAGAGTGATGGAGGCTAAGGACAGGAGGGCATGCACACTAATGACATAATGGAACTGCAATGCAGCCCCAGACAACAGCTTCTGGGCTTCATGTCATAGGAGAGAAAATGAAATTCTATATTGAAGCCACTGCTATTTCACATTTGTGCCACAAGCAACAAAATGCAATTCTTAACTGACACAATTATCTCATTACCATAAGTGATGTCATCCTCGGAAAACTTTCTCTGAATTTAGATATCCCTGAAATCGAGTTACTGGGGAAAGCAAAACAATGTGTCCTCCATAATTTGAGCCCAGCAGACAGTTATAATATCTTCCCCCTGACTGTCACTCAGTCAAGTTGTAAATATTTAGGTTTCTTAATCTGTCTTTTTATATCAACTCTTCTAGTCCCTTAATCATATTTGATAGATATAAAACACACACACACACACACACACACAAAATGCCTCTGAGCTGGGTGGTTAAAAAGCAACAGGAGAGGCAAAGAGCTTTGAAAAACAGTCTCGGAGACATTTTTATGCATGGAGGTGTGACCCTGGGTGGAATAGGACAATCGAGACAAATGTATTTATGTAGAAGTCTAATCTGCTTGTGTGGGGGGTCTCTGGGCCTCGGGCATGTTTGTGTCTGCTTCCAGCACTAGATGCCTAGCCCATTTCCCTTTAGCTCACTGAGATTTGCTTAACCTCCTCCGACGGGAGAGCAGTAGACTGAGAAAAATACAAACTGCCTCATGTTGAATACATAGCAGACATCTCATTTGACAGGAATCCATAATCACCCCCTAACAACCTGGAGAGAGCACAGGAGCCACGACATCGAGAATAAATGATTGACAGCTATAACCATTTCACACAAAACATCATTCCTTCGAGTATCCGAGTGTGTCAAAGAGCTTGGTGGACGGTTTTTATGTGTTATAATGACCTTAAGGGATGGCTCTTGCTGCTTTGCTAAAGATTTTCCTTTGAAACCCTCTAATTTAATAAATAATGGTATATTTGCACTGTGGAAAATGACGCATTCATTAGAAATTATATAGTAGAAAATAGTTACTAACATAGAAAAATGTTTGGTATAGCATATTTTTAGCTGTGATATGCAGCTGATTAAAAGAATCTGTTATAAAATTGTACTCTGACAGTAAAAAAGAAAATTTTGTATCTATATAAGCTGAATAAACTGGAGATCTATTCAATATGTACCAAAGCGTTCACGAAGTGACTGGATCATGCCTTGTGCTTCTCTGTTATTTTCTTTCTTTCTTTTTTTTTGAAGATTTATTCTATTTATACAAGAACAGGGGTACAGGATAGATACATGGGAGGGTGAGAGGAACAGGCAGGCTGACTGAAATTCACTGCTGAGGAGCAGCAGGTGAGACAGGAGAGGTCTGCTAGCCATGTGGGTTGCTCCGAGGCCGGCGGGGATCGAACTGGCACTGCAGAGGCTGCGGACAGCTTCACAGCACTCCACTCAACCCGCTGAACCACCAGGGAGGCCATTCTCTTATTTTCTACATTTTCTCCCAAGGACATGTTTAGTTTTTACATGAAAAGGGAAGCTTCCTGCAAAAGAGAAAACCTTTCGAGTGGACATATCAGGAATTTCAGCTGTAAAACTGGAGGATGGTATTATAGTTTCTTGAGCCAAGCTGGGAGGCCATGGCTGGTCGGTCTGAAGGCTGCTTGAGCTTGTGACTCTGGACTGGCTGAAGACAGAAAGGGAGGGGAGGTGCTGGGGATGCCCTTTTGGCTGCAATGGCTGCCACCAGCATCTGGGCCAGAACTGCATCCTTTTTCTAGATCTGAACGCTTATTTACTCACTATCTTCTCCTTACAGTGAAAGCATATTATTTGATGGAAGACTGTACATATTTTGAGTAAAATGGGCAGCAGAATCATCATTATCTTGTGGAGATGAAGCAACAGAAGCTTAGAAGTCAGAGGGTTTAGTAAATGCCCAAAGATTATTTAACATCCCAGGAACAGAAAGAATACCCCAGAATTTGTGTGTTTCCCTG